GGGTTATTCTTGTAGAGTTGAAAATCCAAATTGTTGTTCTTTTGTTTGTCCAAGTTTGGGAGATGTGGAATACAACTACTACAAGGTGTTATGTACGAATATTCTAATAAATCGAGAGAGTTGGAATTCAGAATAATTCAAATTTCATGATATTGAACAATCAAAAAATTACAAAAATGAAAGGATTCGATTTGAATAATATAAGAGCGGTTTATAATGTATTGCGTGCAATTATCGATAAATATTATTTTTCTTATTCAATTCTTTACTCAACGAATTGTACCGAATTACAAGTCGGGCTAATACATAAAAAAAAAAAAGTTAACACATGAAAAAAAAATTTACATAATAGAAAAAAATTCTACCAAAAAAAATGAAATGGACTGGGGCCTGGATCGTAACAATTTTACAAAAATTGGCACTACCCACTCCATCAAGAGTCAATGACAATGTTGGTCAATAAATAGTTAATAGACACAACAATATCAATTACATTGCAATATTGCATAATAATAATAATTATTATTATTATTATTATTATTTTGGAATATGTACCAATCAAGGTAAAGAAATGCAAACCATTTTTTTAGGTACGAAAATGACAGTTTAAACATGAATAGAGGACTTGAATGAAAATAAAAAAGCTATCCGCACAAGGAATATACGAAATTATGGTAATAGCAAAAAAATCAGAATTAGTTAAAAGTAACTTTTAAGTTTAGACAAAAGTATTGTAGGACTTATTTTCAAACTAAACTTTTTTTCATACTTCAAACACCTATTCAAAATTGTTTGAAAATAAAGAACTTACTTAAAAATAATAATTCTAACATGTTTTTATCTTTGATTATATTGAAACAAGTGCAACTTTGATGGTTTTAGCCCCTGTTTAATGGGTTTTTTTCAGAACTTTTTTTTAAAATATTTATTTTCAACAATACATTCATATAATGAAATATTCTGTACGTAAATCTAAAAAAGTTCCTCCCTTTTAGTTACACATTTTTCCAAGAATTCACTACATAAAATATTATTTTTTTTTCAAAAAATGACCATCAAACATGAGCTTGAACCAATTCTTCACGGGCAGCCTCAGGCCCTCAAGAAACGGGCTATAACAGATCAAACTAGCCTTTTCAGTTGTAAAAAAATAAAAATAAATACAAAAACCAAAGAAATCGCCGTTGCCGGGGATCNGGGGAAATGTGGATTAGAATTTCCTATAAATAAATTGGTATCAAAGTAAAAAGAGAACGCCGTTGCCGTGGATCGAACCCGGGGCACCCGGGTGACAGGCGGGAATACTCACCACTATACTACAACGACCTGACTGTTGTATGTTTTAATATACTTTATTTCATATACTTACTTCTACGGATTTGAACATCATAATTTTTGTTAGTTAAGAGACTGAATTTATGCGGTACAAAAACAAAAGAAACCAGGAAGTTTTGAACAAAATACAAAAACTTCAACATAGTACAAAATCACGCGCAATGCAATTATGCACATGTACCACATAGTAATATATCTGTTTATATCCCATTTTTTCAAACATTTTTTTTCATATTCATTTTCAATCACACATTCACACAATAAAATATTTTACACATAAATCCAAAAATTTTTATTATTTTTTAACGATACATTATCCAAAAATTCACTATTCAAAATAATATGTTTCAAAAATATGTGCAAGTCATGATTACATAGTGGTGGCAAACGGGTCGAGCGGCTCGTTGGCTCTTTCACCGACTCGTGGGCGGTTTGGGCTCGTTAACGAGCCTGAGCACGAGCTGAGCGAGCGAGCCAATGAGCTCGTAAACTCGTCCAAGGTGGAGGGTATATCTTTTTTTCAAAAAAAGATTTATATTTAAAAAAATATTGACGAGCTCGTGAGTCGAAACTCGACTCGGCCCACGAGCTCACGGGCCTAGCTGAGCTCAGCCCACAAGTAATGCTCGGCGAAACGAGCCACGAGCTCGTGTACATACAGGCCGAGCTCATTGCCACCTCTATTATTACATATAAACCAATCTACAGTATATACCACTGTTTATTTTATTTATTCCCTTTTTATGTGAATTACAAAAATTCCATTGCAGCATCTCTAGGAAGACATTATTTTAGCCTAAATCGAGTCCCAAAATTCAGAATTTTAAGAAGTATCTCAAATCATATGATAAGAGATATTTATAAAGCAAATGTTCTTTACATGTTTGATTCTTGATCAGTGAAAAATCCAACACCCAGCGAGCCCCGACGACCGCGCATGCTGAATCCGTCGAGAACAGTTTTCTAGAATGAATAAACTTTTTAAATTATATAACTAATAATTCATTTTATTTTCAAATATTTCTTATAGCTCAGTTGATTAGAACTCCCATAAGTCCCGATTTCGAATTCCTTCCCAACCAATTTATTGTGAAATATTTCAATTCTACATTTTTTTACCAAAATTAATGGAATAAGGAGGGGATTCGAATACATGATCTCTCATTAGAATTTTTGAAAGCTGGATAATTGTGGCACTTGTTAAATTTGACACTAAATTTACTAGAATAATATATGTTACATTTTAGCGATTTTAATACAAATGTAAAAATTGGAACCCGTGCTATTCCTTTGAATTATACAAAACTGGGTCACAATATCATTTGGTAAATATTGCTAATTTGTACAATAAAATTAGGGCTACTTACAAAAATACCCTTANTGGAACCCTTGCTATTCCTTTGAATTATACAAAACTGGGTCACAATATCATTTGGTAAATTTTGCTAATTTGGACAATAAATTTAGGGCTACTTACAAAAATACCCTTAAAACTATGGATGGTTTGAAAAATCATATGAAAAGTTTTTTGAAAGTAAAAAATACTGCATAAAATGAAAAAGTGACATTTTGTCACTTTTTATAAAAATTGTCACTTTTTTTACTTTTTAAAAAAAAGTAACACAAAATCAAAAAAAGTAACAAAATTCAAAAAAAGTGACACACTCAAAAAAAAGTGAGTAAACATGTTCCAAGACAATCTACATGATGATTATGTTAGGCAAAAAAATATAACATATTGTGTCACTTTTTTATTTTCTTAAAAAAGTGACAAAACTTAAAAAGTGAGAAAAAAATAAAAAAATAAAAAAAGTGACAAAATCTAAAAAAGTGATACAATGTCACTTCAAAAAGTTTAGTGTCACTTTTTTATTAACAAATAACATACAATGTCCAACAATAGCATAAAATTGATTCAATGCAAACACAATCATACAAACATATATCCTCTTTACTGAGGAGAAAATTTTTTCTTGACACCACAATGAAATAACATATAATCAGTGGACAATTTATTTGAGCTATCTTATAATTTGTCTTTCAAAACCCAGAATAAAGTCTAATTTTTTTCTTCATAGACCTGTCTCTCTATAAATCAAGAAAATCCCACCTCTCTCTCAGCAACCTATGCGTACACACTTTTGTATCCATATCCTTCTCAAGCATTAAATACAAACAAAATGTGTGGAAGTGTAATTATTTTCGAGGAAACCATCGTCAACAAGAGAGGAAAATTAACCACAGAAGAATTGTATCTAAACCTGTCCAAACTACTCTCTGCCATCGTCCGCCGCTTCGAGATCCTGTTTCTTCGGTCCGCTCTGCCTGCGTATCTGCTTCTCTCTCCCTCTCTTCACGTCTCACGGCGCCATCTTTTGCTTCCATTACCAAGCAATTCCTTGAATCTCTGTTCAGAGAACATGACTCTAATACTCAAACTTGTGCTGCTCTCTGTTTGGTATCAATAATCGAAGGATCACAAAGTCTGGATTCCGGTAGCTTGAAACGCCTATTACCGAGGTTCGAGAAGTTGGCAAAATTCGTTGAGATTTTGATATATAATTTACGTTTGGAATTATTTAATTAGCTTAAAGTGTATTTTTCAATTTTGTTCATTACGGGCCGTATTGGACCTAATTTCCCCATAAAA